AGCATGAGCTGCCTGCCACATGATTTGCCGTGCCGTTTCTTCATCAAGGCTTCCACCGTGACGCCTCATGAACTCTACCAGATTCTCACAGGGAGAGGGACATTCGAGGACCATGACGAAGTGGTAAGGGTGGTCCTGCCAGTCCAGCAGCCTGATGATTTCTGGCACGCTGGGACCTTTATTCGCCAGGATGGTGAGGGCTAGAAGAGTTAAGTTATTATGATGGTTACATGGAGGTGGTTTCTCAGATAAGGATTTAGCTCAGTCTTGGACCAGTTTGTTAATTTAATTTGTGATTAATATTAATATGAGACATTTTTATATTGCAATCTACTTACAATGAATATACATTCTGTGTGCTGTCCTTGTGACGTATTTCAAAGCCACCTGACGAACAAACAAAAATTATTTCAATTAATTAAGATACACGTAGAGGGTTGAGTTAAAAACATTTGGTGGCTTGGTTATATATTTTTACTTTAAGGTCATCCGCCAAACGTCTCCCTTCGTACACCACACCGAATCCACCTTTGCCCCGCTGATCGCCCACAGTGTAGCAGCTGAAGATGTTGTAGTCTATTAAAAGAAAAAACTAAATTTCACATGAGATCAGTCCCTTGTGATGTGAGATGCTGTATTTAATCTAAAAATAATTTAGACTAATTTTCATACATTATTAATTTCAATGACTGTATTTTAATTAATTGAGACTATATTGAACATTTATAGTTTTAGCATATTAGTACATAAAGACGTATAACAGCAATGTTTTGAACTTGTCATGGAATAAAGATCTTATGCCTATATGTACGGATGTGTATTTTTGATATTGTGTGTGAAAGGACGGATAGGTTTACATGGTCAAAGTAGAGCTGTATTAAAATGAAACATATTCCTATAACTACTTCTTTTAAGTTTAAAGTAGTATATCAGTACATTCATTTCTTACCACTGAAGTGTAGTTTGTGAAGCGGGACATTCTTCTTTTGATCCGTAAACAAAAACTTGAACTTGTCATGGAATAAAGATCTTATGCCTATATGTACGGATGTGTATTTTTGATATTGTGTGTGAAAGGACGGATAGGTTTACATGGTCAAAGTAGAGCTGTATTAAAATGAAACATATTCCTATAACTACTTCTTTTAAGTTTAAAGTAGTATATCAGTACATTCATTTCTTACCACTGAAGTGTAGTTTGTGAAGCGGGACATTCTTTTGATCCATAAACAAAAACTTCTTCTCGCTTAACATGTTCTCTTCAGCTAGGCATGTTAAATCCCTTCGAAATCATATTTACTCTCATAACTATATTAATTTTAAGTAATCATTCAAAAAAAAAGAGATGGATAAACGAACGAGTCAGGCAGCCATTAACACCGAAATGACCGTTAATTTTTAAATTTCGCGCGCACGCGGCTCTTTACTACTATGGCGAACCTCTCAGAATTTCTTAATGATTTCCGTTCAGTCCAATTAATAAAACATGATAAAAATGTATTAAATTATTATTTTTTAATTTGAATGTATTTATATTGTATGTATAGGCCTGTAGGGCTTAAAACAAAATTTATTATTAATGCTTAAATTTTATATAGATTCTGGCAGATTTTAAAATAAAGACAAATTTCCAATACGTTTTCCTAGTATATCAAACAAAATAAAATAGATTTTTGCTGTATGGTACGTTTTCATTACTGATAGCAGTTAATATTTTTGTCTAAATTCAGTATATATTTGGTATAAAAGGCTAATGAATGCATGTATATTTTAGTTTGGTAATTTATATCTAATGCAGTGATATTCCTACGTGTGGTTTAAGTGTCCAAATACTTTTTGGGCAACTGTATGACAATGCAAAATCTCTGGTCAACATGTATTCTTGTCTTTATTTATTTAGCTGTCATGTTGCTAGTTTCTCCAGTAGAGGGCGTCTGTTCAATGTGTAATATGTTCAGATTTGATTGCAGTCCGTTGGAAACTGAAGAAGGCTGACGAAAGATATTAAATTAGGAAAAAGTAATTAAAGAGATACAATAAAACATTTCTAACGCAAAAAGAATGATTATCTTTAATGGAAGAATCAGCCGTATATTTAGAAGCCGCATAGAAAATTGGTTTGGCTCAAAAATCTGAGCGGTACTCGCTCCTATATACTAAACTTAATATTCATGAGCCAAACATGCGCCTCATAAATATCGTGACGCGTCAGCAGAGTAAACAGAATAGCGTTGTTTGATTTTCACTTTCATTCACTTTTGAAGTAGGTCTTCTAGTCGTTTCCTCTAACAGAGCGTGAGAATGGAGAACTGCGGTCTTCTCTCTGAGAAAAATGTACCAGGTATGAATTCACCTGTTTATTTTTACTGTTTCCTAAATTACAACTTTTTTATGATGTGTAAGAGCTGAGGTATTTCCACACAGTCGCGAGGGCTTTATCTCAGTATTACTGTAATTACGGTGGAGTTCATAATGGTAATTCAACGTGCTTTACATAAAAGGAATTAAAATAATCATAAAAATAATCACAACAAAAACAAGTAATTAAAATGCTAAAATGATTTAAAAATGGATTTAAAACAGTTAAGAATAAAAGATGATGATACATAAAAAACAGTGCTTATTCAGTAAATGCACAGCTGAACAGATGTGTTTTGAGTCTGGATTTAAATACAGCCCAGCTAACAATTTTTGGTTCCCAGAACGTTCCCGGAACGTTAGTTTTTGGTTCCCAGAACGTTATTTTTTATGGTTTTTGGTTAGCCAGGAATGTTTTCTTAACGTTCCCAGAACATTAGTTTTTGGTCCAGAACGTTTTCTAACGTTCACAGAACATTCGTTTTTGGTTCCCAGAACGTTATTCTAACGTTAATCTAACGTTCCCATAATGTTATTATCACGTGCCGCTAACGTTAGTTTTTTGTTCCCAGAACTTTATTCTAACGTTACCATAACGTTATTATAACGTTCCCCTAACGTTAGTTTTCGGTTCCCAGAACGTTATTATAATGTTCCCCCTAACCTCTTTACTTCGATATGATCACCCCGCTGTACGTCAGTAATCATCCAGCACACTCGTGTCGTGACCCAGTATAGTATAAGCCGCATGGAAATTATCTGTATGGACTCCTAATCAGTATTATAAAAACCACATCTTGTTTTTATCTATTGTTTAAGTAATAAAAATAATCTGAGCACATCAGCCATCAAGATTAAATACTCACTTCTGTGAGATACTGTGTATATATATATATATATATATAAGAATAAAAAATTGCTTGATTTAAAGTAGGATATCGGTACATTCATTTCTTATCACTCAAGTGTACAGTTTGTGCAGCGGGACCTTCTTTTGATCCGTAAACAAAAACTTCTCGCTTAACATCATGTTCTCTTCAGTTAGGCATTTTAAATCCCTCCGAAATCATATTTACTCTCATAAATATATTAGCGTTGATAAAGGCATGAACGAGTTTCTCCAAGTCTTGACTGGAAACAAAACATCTTGATTGCAAAGTTTTTGAGATGATAGCATGCTGATTTAGTTATTGCTTTGACATGACTGCTGAAACTAAGGTCTGGCTCCAAAATCACACCAAGATTCTTGAATTGATTTTTAGTTGTTTGGCTCCTAGAGTCAAGGTATGCATTCACCTTGAGAACTTCATCTTTGTTTCCAAATGCAATGACTTCAGTCAGGCAGACTGGGTTTGTAGTCATTAGGCGATAAGGCTAGCTGGTAAAACTGGGTATCATCTGCATTGCTGTGATAGGCAATTTGGTTCTTTCTCATTATTTGACTAAGTGGAAGCATATACAGGTTGAGCAAAAGTGGCACAAAAATTTAGTCTTGAGGGACTCCGCATGTCATGGACGTCCACTTAGACTTATGCTCTCCTATACTCACACAATAACCTCTCCCTTCTAAGTATGACCTGAACCATTTGAGGACCATCCCAGAAAGCCCAACCCAGTTTTCCAATCTCTCTAGAAGTATGTTTTGATCGACCGTGTCAAACGCAGCACTGAGACCTAGTAGTACCAGCCCTGATATTTTGTCAGAATCAGAATTTAAGCGAATATCATTGATTATCTTTATGAGCGATGTCTCTGTGCTGTGATGCGGTCGGACACCAGACTGAAAATTGTCCAGGTATCCATTTGAATTTAAGAAGTTGTTCAGCTGATTGAAAGCAACCTTTTCAATAATCTTGCCAATAAAAGTAAGATTTGATATTGGTCTATAGTTGCTCAATACGGTGTTATCCAGATTGCTCTTTTTCAGGAGGGGCTTAACAATTCCAGTTTTCATGAAGTTTGGAAAAGTCCCAGAAAGAAGTGAGGTGTTTACCACTTGTAAGAGATCTGCTTCTAAACAGTTAAACACGCTTTTGAAAAAAGATGTGGAAAGTGTGTCATGGCAGCAGGTTGACAGTTTAAGGTTCTATGCTATTTCTTCCAAAATGTTGCTATCAATTGCTTCAAAAACAGACATAGTAACTTCTTTCTGAAGTTGTGGTCGAATCTGTCCAACCTCTGCATAACTCGAGGATGTGCTGAGGATGTCGCCTTTCTGATATTATTGATCTTCTCAGAAAAGAAGGAAGCAAACTCATTGCATTTGCTGTCGGAGAGCATTTTTACTGGGAAACTGACTTGGGGGGTTTGTTAGTCTCTCAACAGTAGCAAAAAGAGTGTGAGTGTTGTTTAAGTTACTGTTTATAAGGTTTGAGAAGAAGCTCTGTCTAGCTGTGCCTAGTTCCACATTGAAAACGTGAAGGTGTGGCTCTGGTGTTTACAGTGGCTGAAATATGTTGTCCTGTCTTTAGAAGTGTATTTTTTATAAATGTCATATGAAGCAAGTTGTCACATGTCCCATTCTCGTTTGTTCACAAATTTTTAATTATATATCTATACGTTCATGTTCTTAATGTCTAATAAAATCTTTTTTAATCAGAGCTGTATGAGATATATTTGTGATGTTTTCTTCTGTTTTTGTGATGTTGTGTACGCTGACTCTCAGTGTCCATGTGAGCTCTCCAAAGCCCATCTCCAAACTAGAGTCCAACTGCACTCTGGATCCTCAAGTGTTCTTCCATTCTGATCGCACTCAGGCTACGGTACTGTGTATCTTCATGTGTTTATCTGGATGTGTGAGCAGAGCAGTTTTAAGCATGTGTTGTTTATGTGTGCAGGTGGATCTGAGTCCTGGTCACATGTTTGATAAGGACTTTGAGCTGTTTGTGTTCTATCAGGATACCCATCAGCCCTCTGCTATAGTGGAGGCAGGAGTGACCACTGCCCTGCCAGGTACGACCTGAACGTCTACTGAACAGTGACCAACCATTGACCTTAGATCCAGAAGTATTTTTTTCCACTCATTTTCCATAGGCATTTAAAAATCAAACCATCTAGCTTCAGTGAATCACACAACATTTTGACTTAAAACAAAGTGTATTTCAATATTGGAAAAGTTAAATATACTAGACTGTAATTAGACATGTATGACGCTTTTCATGAAGCACTGTGAATCATGTAGTCAAATCATCAATATAAGTACAATATAAAAGTATTAATTTATGTCATGGATGATAAGTATAAAATACTGTATATTCCATTTTTCAAAACGATACATTATTGGCTCTTAATCTCTTTTAAAATGAAATTGAAATAAAAACTTGAAATAGCTTCAACAGAAACATATACTATTGCTTAATCTCAGAGCCTATGGTTGGTCTGTTTTGAATGGTTTCGTGTTGAAGTATAAATTCACTGTGAATTATAACTTACACTCAGTGTAATTTCTTTATTTCAGGCTCTCTGATGAGGGACCCAGTGGTCATGATGAGTTTGTACCCAGAGTTCCCAGAGGAAGTGATGTCATCACTGGCATCTCGAGGCGAGTTTATTTTCTTGATTGACAGATCAGGCAGTATGGGCAGCATGATGCATCATGAAAAAGGAGCACAGATACGCATTGAAAGTGCAAAGGTAAGATTTAAAATGTACTTTTGGGTCTGTTGACATATTCAGATGAGACACTTGAATGTCTATCCATGTCTCTCTATAGGACACTCTGCTGTTACTGTTGAAGAGTCTGCCCATGGGTTGCTATTTCAATATCTATGGATTTGGCTCTCGTTTTGAGTCCTTCTTCCCGTAAGTGTCTAGATCCTCATTCACAGATATTCAGATATTAATGTTTGAAATGTGTGAGATGCCATTGTCATTGATGTCTTATTATTTATTTTTATTTTTTATTTTTTTGCAGTCTGAGTGTCGAATACAATCAGGACACAATGGATCAGGCTCTGAAGAAAGTGAAGGAAATGCAAGCAGACATGGGCGGCACAGAGATTTTACAGCCTCTAAAACACATCTACAATCTACGTTATCACCCTGACCACCCCAGACAGGTATGACTTGCTTCCAAGGACTTCCTATCCAGCTGTTACGTAAGGAGTGCAGCAATATAACCCCCCAAATCAAACTATGTGAAACACCCCCCAAACAAAAACTGACAGTGATTATATCTCACAGCCAAATGATACATAGGAATTAGATCCAATCCCATTGCTAGAGCACTAATTAACTACTGAAGAACAAGCAAAAATGCCCATATCTGTATAAGCTAACGAGCATAAAAAGGAAACATGAACTCAGCTGCACTGAAAACACCTTCGGAGATGGATGGAATAGTGAAATATTAGCCTGATGTGAAAAAGATGCTTTGCCATCTAATTAGCTCCAGAGCAACAAGATAACTGAATGGTGCCTTTAATAGGATTGCTGTGATAGGTGTCTTAAAGGGGTCATATGATGCGATTTCAATTTTTCCTTTCTCTTTGGAGTGTTACAAGCTCTTGGTGCATAAAGAAG